AGCAGCCGCAACACCAGCAGCAGCAGCAACACCAACAGCAACAGCAACAGCAACACAAACATCAATAAAAATGACCCTGTGACGTTCCCTACCCATTTGTACCAATGGAAACTAGGAGTTGGCCGAAACTTGCATGGACAATCAACTTGATGTGTAAGCTACTTGGGACACGCGCCTATGGCATGATGCGCAGGAGAACCATACAAGAACCAGACACAAACATCAATAAAAATGACCCTGTGACGTACCCTACCCATTTGTACCAATGGAAACTAGGAGTTGGCCGAAACTTGCATGGACAATCAACTTGATGTGTAAGCTACTTGGGACACGCGCCTATGGCATGATGCGCAGGAGAACCATACAAGAACCAGGGGCGACAACTACAGGCTCGAAGAGGACATGGGGAGACGGGACCGCAGAGCAGGAGAAAAACGTGCGGGAAGCCGAACCATCAGCACGGCAACAGCAGAGGGAAGGTGACAGCAGGAGGAGAACAAGGGCGAAAGCGGCGTCTAATGTGAGTCTGCGGTGGGTACCCACTGTGCTGTGCCCCTCAGTAGCCCTCGAAAGTGGCGACCGTTTCACAGATCGCAGCCCCCCCAGGGATGGCGAGGTCTAATTTGAGTCTGCGGTGGGTATCCACTGTGCTGTGCCCCTCAGCAGCCCTCGAAAGTGGCGACAGTTTCACAGATCGCAGCCCCCCAGGGATGGCGAGGTCTAATTTGAGTCTAATTTGAGCCTGCGGTGGGTACCCACTGTGCTGTGCCCCTCAGCAGCCCTCGAAAGTGGCGACAGTTTCACAGATCGCAGCCCCCCAGGGATGGCGAGGTCCTATTTGAGTCTGCGGTGAGTACCCACTGTGCTGGGCCCCTCAGCAGCCCTCGGGCCCCCCCCCCCCCCCCGTTGCGACAGTTTCACAGATCGCAGCCCCCCAGTGTATTGCGAGGTCCCGTTTGAGTCTGCGGTGGGTACCCACTGTGCTGGGCCCCCCAGCAGGTCTCGAAAGTGGCGGCAGTTTCGCAGATCGCAACCCCCCAAGGATGGCGAGGTCCCATTTGAGCCTGCGGTGGGTACCCACTGTGCTGTGCCCTTCAGCAGGCCTCGAAAGTGGCGACCGTTTCACAGATCGCAGCCCCCCAGGGATGGCGAGGTCCCATTTGAGTCTGCCGTGAGTACCCACTGTGCTGGGCCCCGCAGCGGGCCTCGAAAGTGGCGACAGTTTCACAGATCGCAGCCCCCCAGGGATGGCGAGGTCTAATTTGGGTCCGCCCGTGGCGTCACTGTGCTGGGCCCCCCAGCAGGCCTCGAAAGTGGCGACAGTTTCACAGATCGCAGCCCCCCAGGGATGGCGAGGTCTATTTGAGTCCGCGCGTGGCGTCACTGTGCTGGGCCCCCCAGCAGCCCTCGAAAGTGGCGACAGTTTCACAGATCGCAGCCCCCCAGGGATGGCGAGGTCTAATTTGAATCCGCCCGTGGCGTCACTGTGCTGGGCCCCCCAGCAGGCCTCGAAAGTGGCGACAGTTTCACAGATCGCAGCCCCCCAGGGATGGCGAGGTCTCATTTGGGTCCGCCGTGGCGCCACTGTGCTGGGCCCCCCAGCAGGCCTCGAAAGTGGCGACAGTTTCACAGATCGCAGCCCCCAGGATGGCGAGGTCTAATTGGGTCCGCGGTGGGTCACTGTGCTGGGCCCCCCGGCAGCCCTCGAAAGTGGCGACAGTTTCACAGATCGCAGCCCCCCAGGGATGGCGAGGTCTAATTTGAGTCTGCGGTGGGTACCCACTGTGCTGGGCCCCTCAGCAGCCCTCGAAAGTGGCGACAGTTTCACAGATCGCAGCCCCCCCAGGGATGGCGATGTCTAATTTGAGTCTGCGGTGGGTACCCACTGTGCTGTGCCCCTCAGCAGCCCTCGAATGTGGCGACAGTTTCACAGATCGCAGCCCCCCAGGGATGGCGAGGTCTAATTTGAGTCTGCGGTGGGTACCCACTGTGCTGGGCCCCTCGGCAGCCCTCGAAAGTGGCGACAGTTTCACAGATCGCAGCCCCCCAGGAATGGCGAGGTCAAAGGCAGGGGGGAAGAGAGGGACGGGAAGGAAGGAAGGAGACGCGCGAGCAGTGCTCTATTCGAAACGAGAACCCAACGCAGGAGGGTTGGGAACAACAGCAACAGCAACAATCAGTTTAAGACTGGTCGCTCGTATCTGCCCACGTGCCAAACAATACGTATATCCCAAAATCCTCGGTTCACGCCCTCGCCGTCTTCGATCGTACGTCGTACCCCCTTGAAAGTAGATCTTCATTACCTGCCACGTGCATTTAGTGCAGCCCCTAAAACAAGGGAAGAGAGGACGGGTCGAAGGGGGAGGGATAAGAATGGAGCACGAGAGAAATTAGCAGGAGGGGGCAAGGAGCAGAGAACAAGTGGTATAATCGGACGGGCAGATCGGGTGGGCAGACCCATAGCGGACAGGTCGGGAAGGCGGGCACAGGCGACGAGGCCGAGCAGGCGGGTTGCTGAAGCGTGAGTCCTGCATGAATCGCGAGGAAGTCTCGAGCGATAGCGCGATTCCCAAGAAAATCACCAGAAAAGCCAAAGCGAGAGCGCGATTCCTGAGCGCCGAGGGCGACTCGTCTGAATAGATTGCCAGGAAGTCCCACGCGAGAGCGTGATTCGTATACAAAGTGTGAGGAAATCCCGCGCGAGAGCGCGATCTGGGAATACATTGTGAGGAAGTATCAGGCGGGAGCCGCTGTTGTTGTAAACCCGGGGCTAGGGGTACAGTTTGAGCCCCGCGACTTTCCCTGATAACGAATCAGGGTGCGAGCCCAGGGGGAAGCACTTCAATTGAAAAACAATGGTCACTGGAGGGAGGGATCAACAATACGTGTTCTGCTGTAGTGAAACTTCAGCAACAACAAGAACAATAACAAGAACAGGAACAAGAACAATAACAACAACAACAACAACAACAACA